GAATTACCTCTAAAACCATGTCATTGAGTTTCAGTCCTACAAATTCCCAAATGCAGAGGGGATCTTGACTCTTTATGCTGCCAGTGGTTGTGAGTACCATACTGCCTCCTGGGACAAGCTCTTCTGCACGTGACCTCAAAAAGACTGTGAAGTCCCTTTTGAATTGCTCCAAGTATTGCTTAAACACAACTGGTGGGCTTGTCTTTGCTATATATATGTTCCCCTTGTTAAGTCCCTCTTCTTCTTCAGTCACCAAGCCTTTTGGAACCTACGTACCCACACACACACACACGTTGTTGCATTATAAATTATCAGACACGATTTAAGCAGTAAACAGTATAATAAGGACACAAGGATTGATTAAAAAAGGAAAAAAGACTGGAGGGAAAGAAAAAAAGAAAAAAAATTTAAACCTCAGAGATCCAGTGGAGAGCATAAGAAGAGTGAACAAAGTGCAGAGAATTGTTGGGGAAGAGCCTGCCATAGAAAGAGCCAGGCATTCCTGCAATGAAACATAGCCCAAGCTTCTTTTCAGGTTCTTCATCAAGTTTCTTATAGAAGCCTGGCAATGACCTGAACACCGTGTTGAAATCGTTTCGGGGAAGATCATTCAAGAAGGCTTGGAGTGATGGAGGTGGGCAGTTGAGTTTTTGGTAAGTTGTGTGGATGCTGTCTATGATTTCTGATACCACCTAAAGGGTTTTGGGTCCTGAAGAGCATCCTAAGTCCTCTACTTTCAAACACTCTGGGAAGAGAGTGCAACACAGCTCCTCTATGCTTGCATCAACTATAGGCTTCACCGTTGAAATTACTGCTCTCTGAAAGAAAGAAAAAAGTTTAAGAAAGCATGAATTTTGCGTATTTCTGGTTCGCAAAATAGTTTGAGAAAGAGCCGTGCTCTGTAAGTGGTGAATATACAAATTATTTACTTTTCCTCTTATAAGTACTTCATATAAAATCAACTAGAGAGAGAGAGAGAGAGAGAGAGAGAGAGAGAGAGAGACTAACTTGAAGTAGGGAATTGTTGAAGTAGGGAATTGTTTGCATAGCTTGTCTTCCCAACTCCTCCATTCATGTGTAGGACTTGCTCTACCTCCATTTTTATGTTCTCAAATAATTCTCCTCTCTCTCTCTCTCTCTCTCGGTATCTATTCTGCTGGAAGACTCCCTCATATTTATAGCAAGACGCTTACCCAACACAACTAACTTATTACTTTTTTACTTCGAAAGTATCAAAAATTCCAATTCACAACTACTAACTTGCACCAATAACTTTTAACGTTTTGAGGTGAAGGTGGAGAGGTGGGGGGATGAGTTGAAGCGGGTCGGGTTTCGGCAAGATGCTTACCCAACACAACATAACACAGCTTACGTGGGATATGATTTGATTGACCAAGTGTACAAACAACCTAAGTACGTCATAACACAGCTTATTACGTAGGGCCCCATAAGTCACAAGCGTCATAACACATCTTTGGCACCATTAGGTGTACACTACAATTTTGAGAGAGAGGGCCACCTATTGGAGCTTAATGACGTGGTCAATCCATGACAAATGAATCATCCAGCTGAGCCGAAGGGGCCAATAACGTGAGATTTAATGGTCTTGTTCAAAAGGAATTTCCTTTCCATGGGGATGCCAGGTATAGAAACGTGTCAAGTATTGAGAAGGAGAAAAACTTTCTTGGTATCCCCATCCAACGATCTCTTGACAGCTGTCACCCATTAAAATTGAAAAAGAAAAAAAATTGACACATGTCCATTTGGTTTTCTGATTTTGAAGGTGATGTGATATAATAGAATGAAACTTTGCTGTTTTGTGGAATGGGAATACTTGATTGGGACAGTTTTTCTTTTTCTTCTTTCCCTTCTCAATATTTGGAAATTGGAATGACAGTTTTTGTTCCATGCCAGCTAAAGGCTTTCCTTATACAAGAACGCTTGCAGCAGATCTGTCATTCTTTGATACAATGACAGCTTAACTATAACTATGCATATCACTGTCAAGTGTGTCATTTTGATAATATGATGAGGGTGTATGGATGACATTGAAATTTGGACCTGAGAAGACTAATAGTACTACTGTATATATTAATTAAGTTGTATATCCTAATGGGAGTTTCTGCTGGGTAGATGTACAGTGTCACAATTTCTAAATGGAAAAAACAATGCCTAAATTGAGAAAACAAATATCAAATCTGATTGCTATGTTATTATTCAGCTGCTCTAGGCATCAAAATAGAATAAGCCCAACAATAATAAACTCAAGAAAATCTTTTATTTGAATAAAGGTGGTTTATTAATTAATATATTGCTTATTAAACATGTATTTGTGGAGTGAAGTCAAACAAGTGATGAGTGGCGTACTAACCCGTTTAGGAGAGCTTCTGGAAGGGCTAAAAACGCTTATGACAGTGTTTGGTAGAAAAGTCTAGAAGTACTTCTGGGTTATAGAATGCTTTTCAAGGCAGCACTTTGATTATTTTTGAAAATTTTAACTTCTTTATTTTGACTTGTAATTGAAAGAATTGCAACGTATGGGGTAAAGCCTCAATTATCATGAGGGCATATTGTATTGATTTATACAGTATTACAGATAGAGTCCTATATCAAGTATGATAAGAATATAATGTAATCAGATAAGCAAGAGGAATCCCACATGGGATAAACGTAAATACAAGATAGATAGTCCTAAGGACAATAGTCATCTAATACACCCCCGCAAGCTAACAGGGGAGGAACGCACTAGAAGCTTGGAGGTCAGCAGCTGGAAACGTGGAATAGACAACCCCTTCGTAAGAATGTCGGCAATTTGGTCATGATGGTAGCAAGATAACGAACATCAAGCTCCTGCCGCACAACTTTTTCACAAACATAATGATAATCGACTTCAACATGACGAGTATGCGCATGAAAGACAGGATTGGAGGCCAAGGAGATGGCGCTAATGCTGTCAATCTAGACATCCCATGTCTGCTTCCTTATCGCATTTTCAGACAAACTTTGGTTCACGTGGCCATGAAAAAGCTTGAGGCTGAGGATTCAAAGTACAAAAACAACCGAACCTTGATTTTGACTTGTAATCTCAAGTAGCTAAATGACAGTTGCCTTTTTTTGGGGGGTTCAGAAATGGCAGTGCATATTGGGGTTGAAGTTTGGTCAGTGTGCCCAAATTATATTCCAGGACATAAGTTAATTAGCACACCTTCGACTTGCATTGTGATTTAATCTACAGTTTCATGGGACAAAATGAAAGTTTGCTGCAAAACCACGGGTGTGGCTCTGCTTTTTTATTTTTTTATGTTTTTCGTGGTCAAAAGTGGCTCTGCTTCTGACCATAAAAACTTAGTTGAAATCAACTTCCTATGCTGAAATGAACTTAGTTGGAATTGTGGCGTTGAACTTGATTTGTTAACTACTGCAAGTAGAGAAAAACTTAGTTGAAATGAAATTGTTATACTGCATTTAAATTACTCTAATGGGTGTGATCCTAATCAACAAAAAAAATTTAATTAACAATCTCGAACATGAACTTCTTTTTCAAGGGTCTTAAATTTGAGTTTGGATACTTAATTAGGGTTTTGGGTTTTCTACGAATCAAATACTAAAACTAAAATAAAAATTTTTCGAAGAACTTTCACTTCCATTTTCCTTGCCTTCAGAGATAAAAATAATAATAAATCGAGAAAAACTTGGTTTAATGTGGCTCTGCAATTTTTTTTTTTGTTGGTCAAAAGTGGCTCTGCTTCTGATCATAAAAAATTAGTTGAAATGAACTTGGTTGGAATTGTGGCATTGGACTTGATTTGTTAACTACTGCAAGTGGAGAAAAACTTAGTTGAAATGAACTTCTTATGCTGCATTTTAAATTACTCTAATGTGTGTGATTCCAATCAACAAAAAAATTTAATTAACAATCTCGAACATGAACTTTTTTTTAGGGTTCTTAAATTTGAGTTTGGATAGCTAGTTAGGGTTTTGGGTCTTCTACGAACCGAATACTGAAACTAAAAAAGAAAATTTTCCGAAGAACTTGACATCCGTTTTCCTTTAACACGTTTTAAATCGAAGTATGAATGGCACAATGTGAGAATGTGAAGGTGAATAATGTTTCACATTGGAAAGTTAAGAAATCTAGCAAGGGTTTATAAGGAGTTTGACTACTCCCCCCATTGCCAATTGGTTTTGGAGTGGAACATCAACTTCTATCACACAAAGATGACCAAATGTAAACAAATTTATTCTTAACAATAAACTGAAGTCCAAGACCTGAAAGGTACAAAGATAAACAAAGCAAATGGAACACACATCTTGTTGCCCCATTTCTTGCATATTCATCTCAACGCTTTTTTGTTAACGAGATAACCAGGTTAATGAACTGGTAGTTCTCCCTTTCCATGTGATCAAGAACATCTGCTTCAAACCTACGAAACAAATCGTCCATGGGTGCTTCTCCGAATTGGCTCGCCAAAATCGGCTCTCCCACAGCCCTTATGTCAGTGGCAAATATTGCAGCCCTTGTCTTCTTATCAAGGCCACTGTTAGCTTGGTTTATATAAGAGTCCCAATCATTTTTGAAAACTTCAAGGTTTTGCAAAATCAAAGATCCTTCAGCCTCGATCACCTCTTCGATCTCCTTGGTTGTAGGTGCATAGTATGGCATATTGAATGTGTCCAATTTTTCCTCTTCAATCAAACCCTGAAAATTCATCAAAGTACATTTCAAATTAGCAATAATTATTATGTCCCAAATCTATTAGAAATAAATATGATCTAATATTTAATTACCTCTAAAACCATGTCATTGACCTTCATTCCTACAAATTCCCAAATGCAAAGGGGATCGTCACTCTTTATGCTGCCCATGGTTGTGAGGACCATACTGCCCCCAGGGACGAGCTCTTCGGCACGTGACCTCAAAAAGACTGTGAAGTCCCTTTTGAATTGCTCCAAGTA